TATACATATACATATATGTACATATACCTTAACATAAACATATACATACACATATATACATGGAATGACTACTCACTTTGTAATGGAACAGTGCGGGTGGAATTCGACCCCGCTTGAGAAAAAAACGTTTTTTAGTAAAACAGCAAGAATCTGCGTACATCTGGTGGCGTTGATAAAAAACTGCAGATCTTGGAAGATTCATTGCCCGGTAATGTGATTTATAGCATATACACCTTGCATTATAGCATACAGCATATATTTTTTTACAAATGTAAAAAATACAATTACAGCGACATGTTGAATTCAAGAAAAATATATGTAACGACGAGGAAAAAACGCGTGTTAATCGGTTGAGCGTAAGAATTCATCTGACTACAATTGATTCAAATTACACTATAAAGCCCATTGAAGCCCAGCAACAATTTTTGAGAAGTATGTATATTTTTACTCATATGTATAAAGAACTTATAAAGCGAACTGCTGTCAAGTGCACTTTAGCATAAAGCCTATCGTAAATGCTGATGCTTTGCGGTTGATAAAACCATTAAAAAGTGCCAAGAAAAATATGTGAAAATAATTTTATAGTGTAATTAAGAGAAGAAACCTGTGTGCATTTTCAACTAACAATTTTTACCATGGACTTATAAGTTGAGAAAATGAAATATTGATATGGATACCACTCCTAAAGTCTACTGAAATGTCATAAAATATTAATTAGAGATTTTTTGTACCTAACATGCAAAAAAAAAAAAAATGCAATGCGCGAATATTGCAGACAACTATTTTCTACTTCGAAGAAAAAAACAGCTGAAGGCCTCGCCGAATAGTAAAGGGCTACATCGTAATAAAGGCAACAGAAAATTCGCAAAAATTTGTCGTTATGGCGCGATGGTTTCCAACTGCACGTCGATGCACCTGTACGCCAAGTGTCAGCTGCCAACCGAGCGACAGTCGTCTGTTTGTCTAAGTGAATTAACAATAAGTTTACACTAAATTAGACAACAAATGCGGTAGCACCTGTTTTTGAGTCTTTTGCAAATAGGATTTGTACATGTTGTGCACAGAGCATGCGCTACAACAATGAGCCGAACATATCGACTAAATCACGAGCCTTGCACAAAAATTGACCTGCAGTGTCGGTTAGTTACGTAAGTACAACATATGCTACCGTGACTAAATAAAAAAGAGTCTTGTATTAGACCTAAAAACTACTAAGCAGCAAAGTTAAATTTTTTTTTGATAATGGTTAATATATTATATACTACAATGTAAATTACTTTACATAAACTGCATCGGGCGCGAGGTACAATATATAGAAATAGGCTATACAATTTAGAATATATACGATTTTACGCTGCACTTACTTTATTTCGTTTTGAAAATGATAATTAAATGCATCGTATATATTATTAAAAAATATATATATTATATTGGTTTTTTTAATCGGAATTGAATATATACTCGATTTATATATATTCTCTTTTTTTGTGGCAGAATGATGCATTTTATGTCTATATAAATGACTTTTATAACAAAAATATACATAGTTTATGAGTCAGATGAAAATACATTTTAGGAAATTTAATGAAAACAAATCGAATGGTGATATAAAAAAGTGTAACTTGGTAAGAAATTATTAGCTGATGTGTATAATTTTAAGGTAAATAAAAGATTTATTAGAAAAGATTCAGTGTTCATGCAGCTATGGTTTTCTTAATTTCCATCCCACACTCTAAGATAATTTAACTATTTTTAAATTCCTTGAGTAAAAGTTATTTGAAAGCAAAATTAAAATATACATGCGAATATGTGCTATGTTTTTTTTAATATTATAAAATGATTGATTATAATTATGTCTAAAATAAATTGTTCTAACTCCAAAACTACATACCCAACCATATAGGATAATGATTCGATTCGATTTTGAAAATCATTTATATATAAAGAGGTGTATCTAAGAGGCATACAAATAAAGTATCTGCTTCATTAGGCAACTTTAAAAATCGTCAATGCGCTTGGTTAGCTAAATAAACCTTTTGGTTATTTTCGTGGTACACTAGTGTTCGGCTGTAGGCAGCCATCTACAATTTGGCATGATGCCCAAATCAATAGTGCTTTCGTAATGCTTCGCAACGAACAGTGAAGTGCCTAGTGCTGCCTAAAGCCGCTTCAAAAAAGAAGCTAAATACAATATTAAAAAATAGATAGATCAGCTTTCAGAGCTCACATTTTCAAAAAGTAGCTGTGCTACTACTGGCCGTTGCGATTGCATAATGTATGTAAATTACTTTAAAATTTAAATTATTCTCGGCTGACGATCTTAGAAACTGCCAAATAAATCGAAGATATAGATAAATTGACATAAATGAAGGTGTCAATTCGTAAGGAGTAAGAAAGTCTGTTGCGGCTTCCTTGTGAGTGCTGATGGGGTGGGCTGATGGAACGTTAATGGCATTAAAATGGCAAATAGCGAGGACTACGAGGAATTACCTTTTTTAAGCATAATATAATAAATATTTGAAATCTATACAACTTTCATTAGTTGCATGTGCGAACTGTTTTATGCATTCAAATCTACTAAAAAATAATAATAATTGTAATAATAATCATCGAATAATTTTATATGGAGTAATCGAAGTAAACGTGGAAAACATCTAGTAATTTGTGCTCAAAAACAAGATGCATTTCGCCAAAAAATAGAATGCGAAATAAAATGTAATCAAATTACTCATAGCTCACATAACAACACATTTTTAAAGTTACATGTGCATGCAACATTGCCATTCCTAAATTAAATAAATACAAATTGCATTTGTATATATGCTTACTACGTTTATGCTAGGAAATTCGCAATGATTTATTTTACATTTTGCCTCTGATTAGTTTTTTTTAATTCGAAAATTAGCAAATTGGTTTAAATTCACTACATTTTTCTATATATTAAAGTCGAAGTTATGATGCTATATCAAGGAAACGATATTGTAAAATAGGAATAGCATAAACGTAGTAAAAGTTGCATAAAAGTTTTGTGTCTACTTACATGCTGCACAAAATTGCTATTGACGCTGTTTAGCATGATTTTTTTCCAATTCAAATTTCTCGTACTTTTATCGATTCTCTTTAATTTGTTATATTTTTATTACTTTTTTGTCTTGTTAAACGCAATATTAGAGAGGAAATAGTCCACTCTTGACTTGTTCGTTTGCTATTAATGTATTTTTTTTTGCATGAAAATACTATATATGAACTCATCTTTTTACTTGTCATGTGCAAGCCATAATTGTTTACATTCTACTCATTATAAATTTAAGGAAATATATGTGAATCTAAAAGGAAGTACAAAATATTAAAACGTTTGAAAATAAAAAATGGTGTGTATCTCTTATAAGACAAACTCTTCATTTCTGTATCAAAGCTATTTATATGTTTTAATGGTGCATAAATTGTTTATATAAATGATTGCTCTGCTGCGATTACATTGCTTGTAATATTCACGGTGCTTTGAATGCATATACATATGTATGTATTTATTAAAACCTTTCACTTAGTAACACTTTGTTAAACTTCTTAGGGGTTTTTAGCAACTTGAATAACATGACAATTGAATGCAGCGTGTACATATGAACACACAATTATAAATGCATATCTTCATACATATGTACATGCATTATACGTAAATCCAATGTGTAACGAATATAGCGAAAAATCTGAAGGGTAGCACGAGAGAGAAGGTTCTTGCTCACAATATCACGTGAAAAGACGACACTGAGAACAGCTTCATTCGGTGCTGCCAACTGAAGCTTCAAAAACAGTAGGTGTATCCACTTTTAATAATAGGTGAAAATAGCTTAATTAGATTTCTGTTAAGTTATTTGCAATAAACGGGGTTGCTAATACTTTTCATTTAAATACAAAAAATGTTATTTTCGTTTAAAATTTCAACTGTAGCCGATTTTAGCTAGAAAATAGCTGAGCAACAGCACTATTATACGAAAGTATTAACTTATAAAGGTTTTCGTCGACGCAAGCAAGAAGAGGGATATGTGCACATTTATATACATATGTACACATCTATGTTTGGGTCCTAGGGTCCGACTGGGTAAACGTTGTAAGCAGTTCATTCATTTGCACTGCCTATTGTTAGTAAAAACTGTGAAAATTATTGACATATTATTCTCTTAATACTGTTTATAACTCATATTTTAAATATCAACGTTCTCTGCATGGTAAGTACACAAAAATATGCAAATATTGTAACCAAAATGCCGCATTCAGGCCGCCATTAAATAAAATTACAGACGCTAACATTTCTAAACTGTAACATATTAACTATTCATCAATTTTAATAAGCAATGACGAGAGCAAATACTAAGAGCATGAACAAAAATCCCCTAAAAAAGACACACATTGCTTATATTTGTATATTTTACACATGATTATGTTTCGGTGGCAAACTAACTCAAATTTAATTGCCATATTCACCAGAATTCGTACAATATGTGCGCACGCAGTGTGAACCTTCCCTTATACATAATATATATGCTTTTGTTGATGCTGTTTTCGCTAGTCACACATATACATACATACATATTTATGGAACTATACATGTCTGTATACACATATGCCTGAATGAATGTACTTGATTTGGTTGATTTTTTTTTTGTGTTGCTACTGCCTACCTTACTTGTACTTTGTAGGAGCTCTAATTATTGATTTTTACGTCACTTTTTTGTTTCGCTTTCCCATTTTATTGAAAACGCACTCCACAAATGAATGAAAAAAAATCTCACACACCTTAACCACAAGCAGCGTAATTTGGCGGTACTGCCGCGTAGTTAAACAATTGATATTAAAAGCAAATATTACACAGATAATTTTTTGTAGCGTAACCGCCTGATAGCCCACAAAGAACAAGACCGACTTAAATTAATCAAGACTTTGTTTTAGTTTTATAAAACACAAATAGGGATGTCTGCGATGTATAAAAAAAAAATCGTATGTATCGATACTTATCGTTTTGATTGAATGGGCTGCATTTTAAAGTGATATCGATAGTTAGTTAATGCTGTAGCACACGTCGATATACAAATACACACACACAATCGTAAACGCATTCCAGGAGGTGCACATTTCATTTACAAAATATTTTATTGTTATAAATAATAAAGTGGATTGGGTATATTCAACAGCAGTATTTAGGGAAAACCATCAAACTCAATTCTAAAACCATATCAAGAGCTGTGATATTTCAATGCATATGCACCTATGTACATACTTATCTGCATTTACTACAGCTTCTTTTTCTATAAATATGTTTAGATACGCATGTATGTTTGTAAACGCGCACATTTCTTGCTCTGCACCATCTTACAATGCATTTTTTACAGAAATATAAGTCTCTTGTGTACAGTAGCCTGATACATGATTTCAGAATATGATGTGCTCGCTTTTACTGCACGGAACAACATATTACTTTGCTTAAACTTTATAGTGATAACGTGGTGAAATTATATAAAATGTAGTTTTGCGAACCATAGTAAAATTGCCCGAGGTAGTGTCATGCCAGCGAGTAACTTCGTCTGTTACCGCCTGTAAGCAGGGATGCCACATTGTAGAAAATGGATCAAATAAAGAATTGTTATAGATATATGATTAAGTCTTTAATTTTGTAGTCTTTAGTTAAAACAAGTAAAATTCTGCAGTTGGCCGTAAAAGACTACGTAATATCACTAACCAAACAACATGTAGACTGGACGATCAGAGGACGAAGAGTAAGAAATATGTAAATTAGGTTTTAAATAATAAGTCCTCGCGGATTATTTTGATAGAACTTTATTTTAATAATGATTTATAAAACACTAGTGGCTTCATTTTGTTTACCGTTCGACACAAGGGAACAAACGCAATGTCGGTCTGTATTCCAGAGCCCAGTTTTTGACTTTCCGTATGCTCGTTGAAACACGCACTAGACCAACATTCAAATTGCACCAATCCGCACCTGCATAGCAGGGGGGGGGGGGGTGCAGCAAGCGTTGGTACTCTTTATTCAACATTAATATTTGACATATTTTAATTGAATTTTTTAGCGCCTACATTTTAACATTTCTGTTAACTTACAATTTAACATTATGTTATTTACAGGCACATATTAGCAAGTCCCATCACTAGGACAATTTAACATTAAAAAAGGTAAATTTTTTTTCTGGTAACAGTGTGTTGAGTGGGAGGCAGTGTCATTGATGGGACAAAATGGGAAACGGGACGGACATATTGGGCACGGCATACTCCCGATCGCACAGCGAGAGAGTGAGGGCGTGCGCGTGAGAGAGAGGACTGTGCATGGCCGCAGAGCGGATAGAGGCAGGCTGTGAGGCGAAGCGAGGCAGCATTAAGGGTGCCTGCAAGCTTACGCTCTCGTCGCCAGTCTCCAGCCGCAATGCGTATACGCAATACAAGCTCGCTCACACACGCAGGCCGTCAATTGAGCTGTATAAGCGAAGGAGAGCAATGCAATGCCCATGTGGGCCCGCACGTTATCCAAGTCACCAACCTAACTCGGCCAACCACTCCAGAAATTTTATTTTGACTTTAAATTTATCATATTGCTTTTGGTTATCATAACGTTATTAATATTTGGGGTATAGTTACTTAGGATTTAAACATCCATATTCTTAGGCTATACAATATTTATGTGTGTGTGTACGTGTATGTGTGAATGGGTGTTTATGTGTATACATTTGATTATGTTGTGTGAATGCGCTACAATATTTAAGTATGTGTGTGATGATAGTGTTACAATTTTGATGTTAATTGTGTGATAATGAGTGAATATGATTGTGTGTACATGCAATTAGGACAGATGTGTGTGCATATTTATATGCTAGCTGAATGGCCGATTATGATTCAGGCGATAGCGAAACAGCAACAACAGTCCGTCATAGGTGCAGAGACACAAAGACATATTCAAAGATTGTGATCATGCCATACTAATTGGATGAGAATTAGTAGAGGGCAGAGATGATAAGGGGTGAAAAAAAAGAAGGATTGATATTTTAAGAAAAGAAAGGAAGATTTAAGGGATTTTTATATGACTGTAGCTTAAGTAGCGTGTCATGTTGTGATTGTGTAAGGAGATTTGTTATGAATATGTATGTGTGTATGTATAAAAATGAATATGTGTGTGTGTGTGTGTGAGTGTGTGTGTGTGTGTGTGTATGTGTGTGTGTATGTGTGTGTTGTGAGTGTGTAAATTATAAATTAGTAAGTGTATTTGATTATGATTAAATGTGTTTATACAATTGAGTGTGTGTGTGTGATGTGAATGTGTGAATGTGTGTGTTCACGTATGTGGTTAAATGTTTTTATACAAATGATTGTGAGTGTGTGTGTTGTGAATTAAATGTTGTTGTTGAGGCGGTGGATGCTGTCGCTGCTGATTTTGTTGTAGCCGCTATTGCTGACATTTCCAATGCATTCAGCTATTGGTTAGGCTGAATCTGCTGTGTTTTTTTTTTAATTGTCGCTTTTGCTGCTTCTGCTGTCATCTTGAGCTGCCGCTTCCGTTGTTGCTGCATTAATTGTTGGAATTGCAGCCGCGTTTGAATATATATATTTATATTAGCGGCTGCATGTTTTGAGGAGTGTAAATATATTTGTCTATGTACAATAATTTATTGAGAAGATAGCAAATAAGTGAATTTCATTTTGATTGCATCGATCCTCACATGTGCGTACATACATACATACATATAAATATATACGCAGACGGAAGTTGTTGGACCTGTTGCAAGTGAGTGGCAATGCATGGCATATCAGACAAATATATTAAAGAGCAATGGAGCCAGCACACTGCCTTGAGGCACACCGGCCAGCATCGGACGCACTGACGAATGGTAGGTGCCGGCATCATTGTTTCTATTTGTTATGGGGGAAGCGATTGGATAAGAATGATTTTAGTATTTGAAAAAGGGGCTCGCTCGTGTGAGTGCGTAGCTTACAAAGTAAGCCATCATGCCAGACACGATCAAATGCCTGCTGCAAATCGAGAAATACTCCCGATGTGCAGTGGCCCCTTTCGAATGATTTATTTATGTGCTCGACAAGCCGATGCACTTGTTGGACGGTGCCATGGCCCAAACGGAAAACAAATTGATGATTCGGTATTATCCTGGCACAATCCAATACAGTTTTGTTTACCGTTCGACACAAGGGAACAAACGTAATGTCGGTCTGGATTCCAGAGCCCAGCTCCATGCCTGGTTAAGAGACAGAGAAGTGGGGACTGGGATCCAGACTGTTTTTTTTATGCATTTAATACCCAGAGTACTTACAATGAATTAAGTGACATGTTATATACAATTCAAGTGAAGTTGCCCAGCCTTGGCATGGGGATTGCTGTCAAATTATTATTTGAGGACTGGGAGAATTCCCAATTGTCTGGAAGCTACCCAGTCTGATAGCCGTTGCATCTGAATGAGCTGGAGTCGCCAGCGTGACCACCGTTGCTCCTGCCGCCAGATGCCATTAGTATGGGTGCTTGAGAAACGAAGCATCAAGGCATTTTTCCATTGTATGGGATGTCGCAGTCTAAATTTCTGTAAGTAGGCAACCCTTTGTTTACCGTTCGGCACAAGGGAACAAACGCAATGTCGGTCTGGATTCCAGAGCCCAGCTCCATGCCTGGTTGACAGACAGAGAAGTGGGGACTGGGATCCAGACTGTTTTTTTTGTTCATTTAATTTTTGTTTACCGTTCGACACAAGGAAACAAACGCAATGTCGGTCTGGATTCCAGAGCCCAGCTCCATGCCTGGTTGACAGACAGAGAAGTGGGGACTGGGATCCGGACTGTTTTTTTTTATTAATTTAATACCCAGAGTACTTACAATGAATTAAGTGACATGTTATATGCAATTCAAGTGAAGTTGCCCAGCCTTGGCATGGAGATTGCTGTCAAATTATTATTTGAGGACTGGGAAAATTCCCAATTGTCTGGAAGCTACCCAGTCTGATAACCGTTGCATCTGAAAGAGCTGGAGTCGCCAGCGTGACCACCGTTGATCCTGCCGCCAGCTGCCATTAGTATGGGTACTTGAGAAACGAAGCTTCAAGGCCTTTTTCCATTGTATGGGATGTCGCAGTCTAAATTTCTGTAAGTAGGCAACCCTGTGACAACGAGTTGTATGGCGCCATCTGAGTGGTTCGTTAGCGTAACGCGATCTTTGTTTTATCTGCCTTTCAGCCATTCGCAATTGGATGAGCTGCCGTGCCCTGCAAATAGTCTTAGTCTTAGGCTCTCGCTGTGGTACAAGTACATAGAGGTTGGCTGCCATCATGAACAGTGTAGCAAGTGTGCACATGGTGTTGCACACTGCTTTATGATCCGCACTGGTAGCCACGTCCCGCTGCGTCTGTGGATTTGGATGCGAGCTTGGTGTCTCTGGACTGGGAGGAATGAGACCTCCTGGGCTTGTAGAGGCAGCGAAAGTTGAGCACAGCTGCATATGAGACGGGCTGTTTCAAAAATTAGATTTTTTAGATGCCAGTGGATAGTACTGATCCTTACGAGTCCAAAATGGTATAAAATTTGAAAATTTGACATTATTTGGCCGAGATATTCAAAAAAATCATAAGGAAAGGTTGACTTTACAAACGAATCATTTTCGGGTCCACATCTTTTTGTAACTCATCGATTTTTAATTTGTTTGAATGCCAATTGACAATAGGGATTCGTAAAAATTCAAAAAGGTATAATATTTGAAAATCAGACTTTATTTGCCCGAGAAACTAAAAAAAATCATTAAAAAAGGTTTGATTTTCGAACCGACCCCGATTTTGATAAAAAACGTGATGTAAACCCTTGCCATTTTGGCCGAATTGGGTCAAAATTTAGATTTTCTATTTTTTGATGCCAGTGGATAGTACTGATCCTTACGAGTCCAAAATGGTATAAAATTTGAAAATCTGACATTATTTGGCCGAGATATTCAAAAAAATCATAAGGAAAGGTTGACTTTACAAACGAATCATTTTCGGGTCCACATCTTTTTGTAACCCGTCGATTTTCAATTTGTTTGAATGCCAATTGACAATAGGGATTCGTACAAATTCAAAAAGGTATAATATTTGAAAATCAGACTTTATTTGCCCGAGAAACTAAAAAAAATCATCAAAAAAGGTTTGATTTTCGAACCGACCCCGATTTTGATAAAAAACGTGATGTAACCCCTTGCCATTTTGGCCGATTTGGGTCAAAATTTAGATTTTCTATTTTTTGATGCCAGTGGATAGTACTGATCCTTACGAGTCCAAAATGGTATAAAATTTGAAAATCTGACATTATTTGGCCGAGATATTCAAAAAAATCATAAGGAAAGGTTGACTTTACAAACGAATCATTTTCGGGTCCACATCTTTTTGTAACCCGTCGATTTTCAATTTGTTTGAATGCCAATTGATAATAGGGATTCGTACAAATTCAAAAAGGTATAATATTTGAAAATCAGACTTTATTTGCCCGAGAAACTCAAAAATAATCATCAAAAAAGGTTTGATTTTCGAACCGACCCCGATTTTGATAAAAAACGTGATGTAACCCCTTGCCATTTTGGCCGATTTGGGTCAAAATTTAGATTTTCTATTTTTTGATGC